CAATCTGACCCCTCGCCCGGCTTCACACACTGCTGCCTACAAGAAGGGGATACTCTTTTTTTCTTTTTTTAGAACTACTTTATTGAGGTGTGATTGGCATACAAAATGCTGTACGTGTTTAATGTATACAACTTGGTGAGTGTGGAGATAAGTATATATCCATGAGACCATCACCACAGCCTATGCCATAATACATCCACCACCTCCAAAAGTTTCCTCTTGCCCTCGTTATTTGTGTGTGTGTGATGAGAACACAACATAAGATCTACCCTCTTAGCAAAGTTTTAAATACACAATACAGTACTGTTCACTATAGGCATTATGCCCTGCAGATCTCCAGGCTTTAGCCTAACTTTGTGCCCCTTGACCAAGACCTCTCCATTTCTCCCTCCCCCCAGCACCTGACAACTACCGCTCTCCTATCTGCTTTGTATGGTTGACTATTTAGATTCCACATATAAGCGAGACCATGAAGTATGTTTTTGTCCTTTTGTGTCTGGCGTATTTCACTTAACATAATGTCCTCCAGATCCACCATGTTGTTGCAAATAGCAGAACTTCCTTCTCTTTTCAGGATGAATAATATTCCGTTGTATGTATAACCAAAGCTTCTTGATCAAGTCACCTGTCGATGGACACTGAGGCTGCTTCCACATCTTGGCTATTGTGAATAAGGCTGCAATGAAAGGGAGTGTAGGTAGCTCTTCATGATCCTGATTCTAATTCTTTCACTGTAGCCCACCAATGGGGCTGCTGAATCAGATAGTACTTCTATTTTTATTTTTATTATATATATATCTAACGAGCCCACAACCTGGGCATGTGCTCTCCCTGGAATCAAACCCTGACCTGGGCTAGGGGACTGTCTAGGGCAGGGGGGAAAAAAATGGACACATATGTAATACCCTTTGTAATAAAAAATAAAATTTAAAAAAAAAAAAACCCTGACCTGGTTTCTAGGTCGATGCTCAACCACTGAGCCACGCTGCTGGGCTATTTTTATTTTTGTTTCCTTGTCTGGGGATCAGCACTACTACCCTCCAGGGGCCACCTTGTGCCATGCCATGGTTACCCTCAAAGTGTTGCTGTGAGGAGTGGTTCCCAAAATGAAAGTGGGGAAGGAGAGCACTCCACTCCTGGGGTAGGTGAGGCTGTGAGGGTTGCGAGTCCCACAGGTGACTCTGATATGTGACTCCATGCTATGGCACTTGATACTCAGTCTTAGACAACACTAAAGGAAAGAAAAATGAGGGGAACAGGGAAACAGGAGGGTCCTGTCTGTTTCACCAGCACCAGAAATGCATGTGAGCTGTTTCCCAGGGGGTCAGCTCTGCCTCATGGATGAGCCAAAGTCCTGTATCTGACACTGTTCTCCAGCCAATAAACACCAGAACAGGGAAGCTATGAAATGGCCTTTCCTGAAGATTTTCATAAACAAAAATAAACTGATGAACAAAATAGATCCAGAGACATAGAAGCGTGGAACAGACTATGGATTCGAAGAGGAGAGGTGGGGGATGGTGGGTGGGAAGAGATCAACCAAAGAACTTGTATGCATATATGCATAACCCATGGACACAGACATTAGGGTGGTAAAGACCTGGGGTAGGGGCTGGGGGAGGTCAATGGGGGGCAGAGAAAGGGGACATACATAATACTTTCAACAATAAAGTCTTTTGTTGTTTTTTTAACTGAATGGGCCATAGCCGGTTTGACTTGGTGGATAGAGCATCGGCCTATGGGCTAAAGGGTCCCAGGTTTAGTTTCGGCCAAGGGCACAAGCCCAGGTTGTGGGCGCGATGCCCGCCCCAGTGGGGGGCATGCAGGAAGCAGTCAATCAGTTATTCTCTCTCATCATTGATGTTTCTATCTCTCTCCCTTCCTCTCTGAAATCAATAAAAATATATATATTTTTAAAAAACTGAATAGCAAAAAAAAAAAAATCCTTATAAACAAACCAGGATAAGGGGTTGTATCAAGAATATATAAAGACCTCTCACAATTCAATAATAGACACATCAGAAAAGGGTCAGAGTACACACTTCTCCAAAGAAGATATACAAAGACCAACACACAAAGGAAAGGAAAAGTGAAGACACACTACATCATACCCTTTTTGATGGCTAGAATTAAAAAGTCAGGTGTTGCCCTAGCCGATTTGGCTCAGTAGATAGAGCATCAGCCTGCAGACCGAAGGGTCATGGGTTCGATTCCGGTCAAGGGCATGTAGCTCGGTTGTAGGCTCAATCCCCAGCCCTGATCAGGTGGGGTGAGAGGGCATAATTGTGGCAAACAATCAATGTGTCTCTCTCACATTGATGTTTCTCTGTGTGTGTGTCTCCCCCCCTTCCCTTCCACTCTCTCTAAAAATCAATGGAAAAATACCCTCGGGTGAAGATTAACAACAACAACAAAAAGTCAGGTGTGGGGAGGCTGTGGAGAAGTGAGAACCCTCACATGCTGGTGGGAGTGAAAAGTGGTGCGACTTCTTGAAAAGAGCCCAGCAGTTTCTCAGAAGGTTAAACATGAAGTTAACTTATGACCCAGCAATTCCACTCCTCATTACATGCCCAACAGAAATGAAAATCTATGTCCACACAACACATGCACACAAATGTTAAAAAATATTATTCAGAACAACCAGAAAATGAAAGCAACACAAGAGCTTACCAAACACAATAGTCATACAAGGAATAGTATTTGGCAATAAACATATACACCACAACATGGATGAACCTTGAAACATGCTAAGTGAAAGAAGCCAGACACAAAGGACCACATAACATGTGATTCTGATGATATGAAACATCTAGAATAGGCAGAGCTATAGAGACAGAAAGGAGATTCGTGGCTGCCTGGGGCTGAGGAGGGGGACAGGGGGGAATATTATGGCCAAGGCATGCAGGGTGTCGGGACAGTGATGACAATGTTCTAAAATTGATTGTGTTGTTGCACCACTCTGTGACTATTACTAAAAGCCATTGAATTGCACACTTACATGGGTGATTTGCACAGTGTATGAAACTCATCTCAATAAAGCTGTTAAAATAATAAAATAAATCAGATTCTTCCTTGGACACCTGCTTGAGACAAGGACAGTTTCCAAGTCTCTGTATCCAATCTAGTTCACAGAGGGGGGGAAAATAGAGCTTTCTGGAAGGCAGAGCAGTTGTATTGCAACCCTAGGCCCAGAGGGCTCTTCGGTGGCTACTGCAGCTCACTGAGGCTCTCTGAGGCCAGAGGACGCTCTCCAGAGGGCTGCCACCATGCCCCAAGGAAACTAACATGTGAGCCTGGGCAGGGCACGGAGCTCTGCAAGGTCATGCGTGGGCTCCAGACCCACAGGCACCTGCTCTGAAGACAAAGAGACGGAGCGGAAGGAGCAGGAGCTTTGGCAGCACACAGACCCAGATCGGCACCACGTCTCTTCCGCCTCTTAGCTCCATGACCTCAGCCCTTTCCTTCATCTGCAAAAAATTCAATAATACTGCCTCTCACATCAGCTCCCCTCCTCCCGTTTGGTTTGTTTTGTTTGGCTACCATTTCTTGACGGCTTACTATGTACTCAGTAAATGCTGGCTATGTATTATCATCATATGTTTTGTCTTCCCTGCAGCCCTGGACAAAGCCAGGACTATTTATTCTTATACCCTTTTTACAGAATTGGAGACCGAGGCTGAGAGAGGTCAAGGCACTTCTCCATGGTCACACAGCCGGTAGGTGGGAGAGCCACTATGCTGGGTCTGTCATTTTAGGTGCTGTACTATGAACTCCACCCATAGAGGTGAAGGATGACATTTCATAAGGTCAGAGTTGGCCAGGAGCTGGGCCCTCAGAAAAGAGTTCCAAGAGCCAGGTGCCAAAGTCCTGCTCCCTGAGTGGTGTCCCCACCCAGAGGTCACGGAGAGGACACCTGCGGTGACCAGGGACTGATGACGCTCTCGATATACACATTTCTTGAGCACTGAGTGCCTGGGGCTGTGCGGTGCGGTTTCCTTGCACCTGCTAGAGGCTGACTGGACTCCTCGAATATCCTACATGTCCCCTCCTCTGGGGCCTCCACAGGGAGGCAATGGTGTCCTTTTGCTTTTGCAGGGGGGAGGCAGAGAATTAATTAACTACTGGCCTAAAACCAAAAAGAGCTGGTGAGAAACAAAAAGCAGAGGGTGAGGTGTAGGCAGGGCTGTGAAGCAGCCAGTGGGCCCCCAAAAGCAGATGTTCTCGCCACGTCTCCTCCAGTGAGAAGGCTAACCTTGGCCCTCCTGAGTCCAGCCCCTTGCACCCTGTGTACCAGTGATTACAGGGCTGACAAATTACCCCAAACTCAGCAACTTAAAACAGCCATTTTCTCATGTCTGCATTGTGTGGAGCAGGTACTTGGTAAAGGGATGACCAGGGATGACTTATCCCCGTTCCATGATGCCGGGGGCCCCACCTGGGAAGACCTGCAGGCCAGGATGACCTACCAGCGGGGGAGGTGGGGCGCTGGGGTCTCCTGGGGCCGGTTCATACACATGCCGGGCGCCGGGGCTGCGAAGGCTCAGAGTCAGACCAAGGAGGGAGCCCCTCGTGTGGCCTCCCCACGCAGCGTGGCTTCCTCACATCACAACACGGCAGCCTCGGGCGGGTGAGACCTCTCGCTTTGTGCCCAGGGCTCCAAGCACGAGTGTCCCAGCAAACAGGGCCGAAGCTGCCCCACCTTTCGTATCTCAGCCTGGGACGCCCCACAGCGTCACTCCTCAGCTGCCCTGTCGTCGTCAAAGCAGTCACCAGCCCACCCCGACTCAAGGACGGGCACCTTGACGGGCCGAGGACTGTGTTGGGGAGAAGCAAGCTCAGGGCACGTGTGGAAGAGCCTCTCTCGGAAGGGGGAGGGCTTCCCGCCTTCCTGCAGAACCCGCAGGGAGGACCTCAGGCTTAAGACGCCAGACACCACGGAACGCTTGTTGCATGATTCCATTTACGTAACGATCAAGGACACACGAGCTAATGGATGGTCAGAACGGTGGCTCCTGGGGGTGGGGCGCAGAGGCGAACGAGGGAGGACCCCCCCTCCCTCCCCGCCGGGCTCTACTCTGTTCTATATCTGGATCCCAGCGGTGGTTACACAAATGCATCATAGGCAGAACTCCATCAAGCTCTGCACTTAAAACCCATGGCCTGGACACACTAGGTCAATAAAGACTTTTTAAAGGAATTATCCAGCGAGCCGCCCCCCACCCCGCCCCCGCCAGCTGGCCAAGCCCAGGGAAAAGCAAACCCCGGCTCTCCCCATCCTGGCCGGTGGGTGGGCGTGGGGGACACGGTTCCACCGCCTTTTCTGGCCCTTCCGCCCCCCACTTCCTTCTCAGTTTCAGGATCCTGAAGTCAGTGCCAGAAGGGCCAGGCCCTTAGCAACTTTATTCTGACTCCTCACATTCTGGGGGAGCAGGAAGCAGAGAGCTGCAGGGCCTCCTGACCCCCGTGCAGCAGGTGGGCACCACTGAGGGGCCTGGTTCCTCAGACGCCCAGGGGGCAGAAGCCTTACCGGCAGAAAGGGCTCCTTTTCCTGCAGGCGGCCGAGAGGTGCATGCTTAGTGAGGTCTTATCCAATCAGGTCCGTCCAGACGGGAGTTTCTGCAAAGCAAGAGGTTTCCTACTTGATAAGTGTCTGCACCCACCCCCACCCCTCATGCCCCCAGCTGGGCAGGGCTCCCACAGAGCAGGGCAGAGGCGGGTGGGCAGGCCTACAGTCACAGCGCTCCCAGGAGTCCCGGAGCCTGGGGACAGGAGACGCTTTCACTTTCCATGGCCTCCCGAGGCCAGAGCAGGTGCCAGCACCTGGGAGTCCAGCAGGTGCCAGCACCTGGGAGTCCAGGTGCCAGCACTGGGAGTCCAGCAGGTGCCAGCACCTGGGAGTCCAACAGGTGAAGCCCCAGTCAAGCCTTTCCTGATTCGCCTGCCCCGCCCCACTGGCCCACCAGGCCCAGGCCCCCCTCTGCCACAGTCAACGCCTGCTATGGCTGAATTGTGACCCCCACAACTCCCATTTCATATGTTGAAGTCCTCACCCCAATACATCAGACTGTGACTATATCTGGAGTAGGGTCTTCAAGAGGTAAGTACGTTAACATGAGGTCACATGGGTGGGCCCTCATCCAACATGACCAGCATCTTTATAAAGAAGAGGAGGTTGGAGACTGGGCACAGACTTACACAGAGGAAGGCCTGTGAAGACACAGGGGGGAGGCGGCCATAACCAGCCACGGAGAGAGGCCTCGCGGAAACCCACCCTGCTGACACCTTGACCTTGGACTGCCGGCTGTTGTTTAAGGCCCAGCCTGTGGTATTTGTTGTGGCAGCAGGAGTAACCCCATCATCAGAATGTCACCCATTTTCACACCTGGCCTTGGCCCAGGCTGACCCCTCACCGCACCTGGTGCCTCCCCCCCTGCCCTCTGACGAGCTCCGCCTCCGGGCCTCCCTAACCGGGGGTGATATTTCCCTTGAAGATCCCTGAGTGAGCTGATTGCTGTGACACTCTGACCTGTGCCTGTGCTAATCTCTGTGATGCCACGTGTTGGCTTATGTCCTGCAGGGCCGCCCTCCCTCCCCAGACTTGGACCCAGAGGCCGCACCTGACTCATCTCCACGTAGCAGCATGAGCGACGGAGGGCCTGATAAACTGTCTGCTCCCGTCAATTGCATCGAGCAGTCTGCTGAGTGCCTCGGCTTAGCCCTGTCAGGGTCCCCGGCCCGCACACCCCTAGCTTCTCCTTCCGTGCCTCTGCCCTGCTCACTCCAGGAAAGCTAAGGAAGGCTTCAAGGCCCGAAGCATTAGCACTGCCTAAGAGACTGTGCATGCCAAGCAGAAGCCCGGGGACGGCAACACATAAGCCGAAGATGTGGGTAGTGAGTGATGGCTGCCAGGGGCTGAACTGGCTCCTTCTCGGGTTGGTGAGAGCAGCCCTGACCTGCCTGTGCATCTGAGGGGGGGTGGGGAAGTGTGCATGTATGTGTGCGCGCGTGTGTGTGTGTTGGGACGGGCATACATGAGTGCATCTCGGGGTGGGAAGGACCCCACACTCACCTGTGTGTGTGTGTGTGCGTGTGTGTGCGTGCGTGTGTGTGTGTTGGGACGGACATACATGAGTGCATCTCGGGGTGGGAAGGACCCCACACTCACCTGTGTAGGGCAGCGGGTGTAGAGGCTCTGCTACCCTGAAGAGAGCACAGTGTGTGGAGCTCAGACAGACTCGGGGCTTGAAGTGCAGCTCCTGTGCTGGCAGCCAATCACTGAGCCGGACACGGACGCCAGAGGGCCCGCATAGCTCCTGGCCTGCGGTGGGTGCCCTTGGCCAACGGATGTGTCCTCCTCCACACAGCGGCCTTGCCCAGCGCTGAGCCTGCAGCACAGAAGGCATCCTCTCCAGGGCCAGGCTGGTAGGGGTTAATGAGAAAGGCTGGTTGTTCCTGAAAACAGAAGGCTGGGTCGATAGCGCTACAGAGCCAGCATCGATCAGCCAGGGCAAAGGCCCTGCGGGGAGCCGCCAGCAGCTTCTCTGAAATGCCCAGGACAAAGCAATCCGGGAAGGCCAGGCCGACGGAAAGGCCCTGGGCACGTCCATCCTGGGGTCAACCTCCTCGGAGCACAGGGCTCCCTGCCCCACCCCAGAACGCCGTGGATCCCACTCCAACCTCGGGTGTGAGAGCTGGAAGGGACCTGGGCTTCCTCCTCTCGGTTCTTCCTCTGAGGCCCGTGTTAAGAACTCAGCCTTCTGTGAGCTGTGAGGGGAAAATGTTCACGAGTCTGTGGCTGGAATTCAGCTTTTCTTTCTATTAGGAACACAAGCATCAACTACGGTGGAATGAGGAGTCCCTAAGGCAGTGATGGCGAACCTTTTGAGCTCGGTGTGGCAGCATTTTGAAAAAGCCTAACTTAATTCTGGTGCCGTGTCACATATAGAAATTTTTTTTGATATTTGCAACCATGATAAAACAAAGATTTATAGTTTTGATATTTATTTTATACATTTAAATGCCATTTAACAAAGAAAAATCAACCAAAAAAATGAGTTCACGTGTCACCTCTGACACGCATGTCATAGGTTCGCCCATCACTGCCCTAAGGCCTTGTCACTAAGAATAATGACCGGTGTCATCCTGTCTCATTTGCAGGCATCGAATTCTCAAAACATGAACATGCCTACCTCAAAACGCCGTGGCGGCTAGACCTACACCGCATCTCGTTCGATGCGCTAATAAGTGAACACGTCACAGTGTGTGGGGGGTTCTATTTGACAAGTTATTCTACCCATCTGATTTTACCAGCCTGCCCAAACGGTCCATGATACAAAAAGGGTTAAACCTTCCTGTTCTGCTTCAGCACCCATGGCAGGTGGGGGCACTGCGGCCCAGAGCAGGCAGTGCTTTCCCTGGGTGGGGGACTTGGTGGGGGACGTGAACAATAGCATTGTGAGCCCGGCCGGTGTGGCTCAATGGCTGAGCATCGAGCTATGAACCAGGAGATCACAGCTCAGTTCCCCATCAGGGCACATGCCCAGGTTGTGGGCTCAATACCCAGTAGGGGGCATGCAGCCAGTCATGTTTCTCTCTCATTGATGTTTCTGTCCCTCTCCCTATCTCTCTCTAAAATCAATTCTACTACATATTTTTTAAAATAGCGTAATAGTAACAATAACAATAACCCTCATTGACTGCCTACCCTGAGCCAAGCATCATTTTAAGTAATTTCATCTTCACAACAGCCCTAAGAAGATAAGGTCACTGCCCCTATGGAACAGGTAAGCTAAGGCGCAGAGATGTGAAGTAACTTACCCAAGGCCACACAGCTCATAAATGGAAGAGCTGATTCAAACCTCCGAGCCTACACGCTGAACCTCCCTTCTCTCTGACTGCTCTTGACCAGTCCGGAAGCACGGGAAGTGCTGAGCTCTGGGATCACAGACCGAGGTTTGAATTACGGCTCTGCTACTCGCAGGCCGTGTAACTGGGCGACGCTCTCCACTTCCACACATCAGATTTCTCACCCACATCATGGGGAGAGCAGCTGCATCTCCATCCTTGGTCTGTGTGGATGACTCACACATGGGGAGCGCTCTGCACAGTGCTAGCATGGAGTGACTGCTCGATGAAACCAAGGGGCAGACCTGTTGACAATGGTAATATGCGCCTGTGTGCCAAAACCTCCAGAAATTACAAAATTACAAGTGTCGAGGTTAATACCCAGATCCCAGTTCTCGGCAAGATCGATAGGTGCCAAGAATCAGCAAGCGCCCATGGAATTCTGCTCTCGTTGTCAGGGAGAAGGGGAAAGGCTGAAGCTGCAAGCAAATCTATGAAAACGCCAGTCAGCGACTTCCTTCCAAAGAGGACGGTGCGGAAGGGGAAAGA